TGGAATCGGTCAAGTGACCCAACACACCAAAGGCGCCCTCAGACCAATGGAAAATACATTTATTTCCTATAGAAATCTATCGTAAATAAAATATTTTCCATTTATCTTATCGCGCCCACCCAACCGTTTTCCTTAAGGGAAAACGGATAACATACACCCTTAATCATAGCAGCAGAGCACCGTATCAAGTAAGCCAAAGAACGGGCAAGACAACAAACGTTTTTTCTGCTCGTTTAATTTCATTACATTTCTACAAACCAAGGGCCTGTGAGACCCCTAACATGTTTGATGTAGACTCAGATATATACCTATCCCTAACAAAATCACTTCTCCATCTACCATGTTTACTTAAAAGTCTATCCTGCACACCAGCATTAGCTGTGGCAGTCACGCCCCCTGAGCGTAGACTATGTAAGCCGAACAGACGCTCATCATACCCACATTGAACTAACGCAGTCTTAAACAGCTCACGGCAGCGACTGTACGACATCTGCTTGTCCAGTAAGACATGCTTACCTAGAGATTTGTTAAAATTAAGTGCCCTAAATAAAAACATCTGCTTATCTTTGGAGAGGTCAATGTCTCCCAAAGCCATATATCTACGCAAACACGCCACAGGGCACAGATCAGAGTCAGTCCTCGCCAAAACAATGTTAGAACCCCGACTAAATTGATCAGTTTTACTCCTAACAATCTTGATATCTACATGCCTATCATGGAACACTAAGTCCCCAACTTTCAAATTAATTACTTCATTATTTCCATTAATGAATGTAGGTTAATAAGATCTTACTATTTTATCTTTGATTTACTACGTTAGATTCTGTATTAAAAAATTAAAGTACTGATTCTTAGGGGTTGAGCAGGCCTAGGATATGATGAGCCTAGGTTTCAGGCCACTTTTATGGTATTTCTTTTTATTATTCTTTTTGGAAATCGGAAGAAAGATTAAAAGCCACCCAACAATGGATCAAACTTGTGGCATCCTAAACCTATTGTAGCAACATCAAGACAAACAACCTTTGTACACCCCCACCTTACAATAGTATAGTCCATTGTTGGTGGCTTTTGACAGGGGTGGCTTTTAACAGGGGTGGTTGACCCTCTATTTGTGGACTTTATTTCAAATTTCTGGATCTGCTACTGGGAAGCTAAGGTGAAACTACGGAAGTTAGTGATAAGCCCAGTGAACTTTTCTTACGATAGGTTTAAGTTTTCAGAGAATCTGGGCCACATTACCTATGAGTATATTGAGGAAAGGTAGCTGGTGCTGCTCTTTTATAGTAAATTTTATGTTTTGTGCAATGGACCATCCCTCTTGTCAAGTATTGGGGGGATATATCCCCCGTGTTATTAACACTATTATTATGAACAATGTACAATGTACTCATTATTTAAATTATTTCCAGCACATCTTTTTGAAGACCTTAATGTTGATGGTGAGTTTACAATGGTTTTATTTTTTAATTCAATTGGTCAATGCATTTTGAATATTTCCTTTAATAATAATAATTGAATGTAAAAAGTCATATCCATTAATGAATGTAGGTTAATAAGATCTTTTTCTTTTATCTTTCTATGTTTTGATTAAATTTTAGTAAAACCAGTATATTTCAATAGAACTCATTTTTATAATAATGATTACAAGCTAATTAAAACAATATTTTATTAAACAGGGTATTCATTTATTAACAAAACTAAATGCTCCATTACATAGTACACTTTACTACAATAAAACATTTATATTTACTTTATTTCTGGTATTTTTATGGTATTTGTCTAATATTTAGTATTCTAAAATTTCTAAAAGGACTTGTCCTAACTTCCATTAACAATTATTTTCAATGAAATAGTTCCCTTTAATAATAATAATTTGAAGGTAAAATGTCATATCCATTAATCAAAAGGTCCACTGATTAATCTCAGTTAAGAAAGTATAATACACACTCCAAGTATTGAAATGCATGCCATCGTGTGTGGGATTCAATGTTTCAACATTAATTATGTCATCATCAGGAATATCCATTAATGAATGTAGGTTAATAAGATCTTACTATTTTATCTTTGATTTACTACGTTAGATTCTGTATTAAAAAATTAAAGTACTGATTCTTAGGGGATGAGTAGGCCTAGGCTATGATGAGCCTAGGTTTCAGGCCACTTTTATGGTATTTCTTTTTATTATTCTTTTTGGAAATCGGAAGAAAGATTAAAAGCCACCCAACAATGGATCATACTCTTGGCATCCTAAACCTATTGTAGCAACATCAAGACAAACAACCCTTGTACACCCCCACCTTACAATAGTATAGTCCATTGTTGGTGGCTTTTGACAGGGATGGTTTTAACAGGGGTGGTTGACCCTCTATTTGTGGACTTTATTTCAAATTTTTGGATCTGCCACTGGGAAGCCAAGGTGAAACTACGGAAGTTAGTGATAAGCCCAGTGAACTTTTCTTACGATAGGTTTAAGTTTTCAGAGAATCTGGGCCACATTACCTATGAGTATATTGAGGAAAGGTAGCTGGTGCTGCTCTTCCATAGTAAATTTTATGTTTTGTGCAATGGACCATCCCCCTTGTCAAGTATTGGGGGGATATATCCCCCGTGTTATTAACACTATTATTATGAACAATGTACAATGTACTCATTATTTAAATTATTTCCAGCACATCTTTTTGAAGACCTTAATGTTGATGGTGAGTTTACAATGGTTTTATTTTTTAATTCAATTGGTCAATGCATTTTGAACATATTGCTATGCTATATTAAAACCATGGAGGTATTATTGAGAAGGAAATCACTCGGCAACAGATCCCTTTGACGCGACAAACCTATGTGTTCCCCGCTATTTTGGATCGCGCACGGGCGTATTACTTTATAATTCACATTTTTTCGTTAGCAACAACTTGGCAACGACATGCATTTATACGCTTCCAGCAGAGCAGTTGTGCAATAAAACGTTTGATTTTAACCCATTAAATATCTTTATAATAAACAATGTTCCCCTGATTAGATTTTTTCGGGCTTTTGGTATGTTATTATTTGTATATTTCAGGAACGGATTCCGTAAAATATTTACGTTAAAATTACTTCTGTGTTCATTATAATTTTGTCTAAAAATTGACTGGTTCGACTATAAAGCTAAGTCAGCGTAAAACTGAAAAATACTTAGATTTTGGATTCATTTTTTCGAATAGTTAACCCTCGTTAACCCTAAAATGACTTAGTTTATTATAATCCTTAATCATTTATTAATTAAGATCTGTTAAAATTAGAATTGGCGAATTTTGGCCAATTTAGGCGAAACTTTTCTTGGTGGAAAATATTAATATGTTTGATATTTTATGAGAGATAAATGTATCAGCTTCAAAATAGAAAAGATTGCTCAGCCATAGTGATTGACAGTATGTAGTGCGCATTGAAAAAAGAAGGTGCTCTCCATTTCATCATGTTCAATTTTTTGGTCAACTATGCATGCTGAAAATTTGATGGCGGGGAACACATGGGACTTCAAAGGCATCGCGCAAACGTTCTTTACGCGCTGCGGCAACTTTGATCTTGGTTCATTTGCATAGCGCTGCGTGCGCGTAGCTTTGCCGAGTGATCTCCTTCTCAATAATACCTCCATGTTAAAACTGACAGACATGTATTAACTGGTATTATTACTGTTTTACCAAATCTTGTTATCGCTTGGTTTTTAGAAGAATTTATCTTGTGTTTGTTTGTATTTAATTTTGATTGGCCTAATCTGGCCATTGTGCCAACATTTTGATGAGACCAACTATTTGAATTATCAATCATTTGGTAAAGCAAAAATGCTGTCTGACTTATGTGAGCAAGCAGGATAAAATGTGTGTAAAATTACAGGGGAACATGGAATAAAAATCAGGGATGGCACTAGGATTTGCCCAATGCAAAAAGGAAAAGGGAATGCAAGAAAGCAAGGGTCATTTTGAATGAGGGGGTTGGGGCTGTCTTAGACTTTGATGGGTTTCAGGGGTGAAGTTCCAGTTTGGTTTTGTGGACTATGTTGTTATTAAGTTACTTGATAATTATATATTATTTTAACTGTTATAATCACACTTTAATTTATTTGGATCACAAATGTTTTATATAAGATGAACTGTCTGCCAAAAAAATGGAAAAACATTTAAAATTCATCCAAACTTAGGGATATAGATTCTCATTTAAAAAATAACAGTTAAAAATAGTTTTCACCGACACTTTACTGCAAAAATCCCTGAATTGATTACTAGCAAATTTAAGGGTCTATGCAAAAGAATGTTTTTTTTTTAATGTTGTTTATACTACTGTATGATTATATAATATGTTTTCAATTTGACTTCATTGTTTTAGGTAATTGAAGCCATGTTAATTGTACATCGCATACAATTCAGTGTCTGATTCTGTCATGTGTGATTTTGAAAATTAAATTGAATTAAATTGAAAAAAAATCATTTATTTATTCATTTTATTTATTTATTATCCCAGCCAACAGCAAACATAAAATTCGCCACTTACAGGAAGGAACATCCATACTTGCAAATGAGATCAAAAGCTAGTAAAAAAGTTAGTAGAAATAGCTTTGTCTACTATTGCAGGCAGGCTTTTAGATAGTTTGTCCACATAAAAAATTATTAGATTTTTAGTAATGAATTAATAGATCTTAAAAGTAAATACCACATTGTCAATTTTTCTGAAGCATATCAACAATATTAAAGCGTATTACTATTACAATACTCAATATTAAAATTATTTCCAGCACATCCTTCTGAAGACCTTGATGTTGATGGTGAGTTTAAAATGGTTTTATTTTTTAATTTAATTGGTTAATACATTTTGAACATATTGCTATGCTATATTAAAACTGATAGACATGTATTAACTGGTATTATTACTGTTTTACCAAATCTTGTTATCGCTTGGTTTTTAGAAGAATTTATCTTGTATATAAAGCCAAATAAATCAAATCATATCAATTTTTTTCTATTATTCGGCACTGTGGTAATACTGTTCCATCCAATTATCTAATAGCTTACAAGTTCTGTTAAACACCTTAGGAAGAATATTACTTTCATGTGATATTAGGACACCAATTAATGATATTTTAAGTTTGTTGAACTGGCAAACTCTGAAAAATAGATGGAGAGACCAATTATTATTTTTAACTTTTAAATGCCTTCAAAGACTTGCTCCCTCCTACCTAATTAATATGTTTGTTTTCCTTGAAAATAATAAAAACACTAGAAGCCAGACAAATAATCATCTTGTAGTTCCACAATGGAACATACAGTATGTCAAGGAAAACAAACTTTTCATTACTGTGCATCCATGAAGTGGAACCAACTACCTAGCAATATAACTAGGGATTTCCAGAATTTTATACCAATACACATTTAAAAATGCTCTGAATTAATTGGTCTCTCCTCTATTTTTGTGATTAAGTCCTCTATATTTGTAATTAAGTCATATATTTTTGTAATTAAGTCCTTTGTTTAATTTTCCTAAATTTTTCTTTTCAATTTTTGTATTGTATGTTATGTAGCTGGACCACAACGAAAACCAGTGCCTTTGCATTGAGTGTGCCATCCAGTAAAATGAAAGTTAAATAAATAAATAAATTTAAAAGATAACTGTTAAAAATTGTTTTCACCAACACTTTACATCAAAAATCCCTGAATTCATTATCAGCAATGTAAGGGTCTATGCAAAAGAATGTTTTTTTAAATGTTGTTTAAACTACTGTATGATTATATGTTTTCAACTTGACTTCATACAATTCAGTGTCTGCTTCTGTCATGTGTGATTTTGAAAATATAATTGAATTAAATTGTAAAAAAATGTTTGTTTAAGAATTTGCTTTTATTTTAAAAATTTCAGAAATAACTCCCCTTACTCGTCCTTGTCATCATCCATGGTCCCTGGGTAAGTACTAACTCCATCCATATTTGCCAACGCTAATAAAAAAAAAAGTTAGTAGAAATAGAATTGCCTACTGGTATTGCAAGCAAGCTTTTAAGGGCATATAGATAGTCTGTCCACATAACAAATTATTAGATTTTTAGTAATGAATTAATAGATCTTAAAAAGTAAATGCCATGTCAATTTTTCTAAAGCATATCAACAATATTAAAGCGTATTACTAATACTATACTATACATTGAAACAATACTCAATATTAAAATTATTTCCAGCACATCCTTCTGAAGACCCTGATTTTGGATTATCTGGTGAGTTTAAAATGTTATTATTTTTTAATTCAATTGGTCAATGCATTTTAAACATATTTCTATGCTATATTAAAATTGATTGACACTGGTATTCTTACTGTTTTACCAAATTTTGTTATCGCCTGGTTTTTAGAAGAATTTATCTTGTAGATAAAGCCAAATAAATCAAATCATATCAATTTTTTTTTCTATTATTTGGCACTGTAATAATACTAAATAATTTCATCATCCCTGAATTGTGAAAATAAAAATAAAGCTATTTTTCTTTGTATTAAATTTTGATTGGCCTAATCTGGCCATTGTGCCAACATTTTGATGAGACCAAGAATTTGAATTATCAGTCATTTGGTGAAGCAAATACGCTGTCTGACTTATATGAGCAAGCAGGATGAAGTGTTTGTAAAATTACAGAGGAACATGAAATAAAAATCTTCCACAAGCTCCAGCCCACGAGCTTTAGTCCCCCTGTCAGGCAGCTCAGCCGCCACAGCTACTACACCTTTTTAACATAGGCACTAAACAAGCAGAACAAAAATACCTGATGCCAGGATTAATAATAAAATAATAATAATAATAATAATAACAATAATTAATAATAAGAAATGATAATTTTGCCCTAAATAGCACATTATGCTAAGGCCTCAATGTGCTTAACAATAAAAATTAAACTGCTGGATTAACTCTTGAGGTCTCCCTGGTTTCGTTTGTTGCCATGTTTACATCACCGCAGATGTAGTAGTGCAGTATTTCAGGAATGCCTGCAAAGGAACCTTCGCCCTCGCAGACTTCTGGTTTATATTAGTATAACAATTAGTATAGCACATTTTCATGCAAAATTGTGTATTAAATTAGTGCCTTTAGGAGCAGCCATTATTGATAATGAATCCTAAATAATATACTTATTGCTTTATAAGCCATTCAGCCTACTTTATTATATTAAGATCTTCTTTGTCTTCTTTTTTCTTTATGTTTGTCTTTGTCTTCTTCATTCTTCTTTGTCCTTCTTCACAGTGGCATAACTAGGTTGTGAGGGGCTCCTCGTTCAAAGGTACAGAGGAATGCAAATTGACTATGTAAGACACCTTCACATAAACAACTTAAGACATTGACGTCCGTACCTATTATTTTACTTTTTAAAGTAAATAAGTCTATTTTTAAAATGTTTTATAATTCATTAGTGGAAAGTGTCTTTAAGCTTTTCTTTCATATGTTGGTATTATAATTTAAACCTTAAAGATAGATTTTCTCTACAGAAAATAGTAAATTCATGCTCGAAAATAATAGGAAGTCCATTATGCAGTCTCTCGTCCTCCTGTGACAAACAAATTGTAGGTAAATGTAACATATTTTAGAAACAACAGAACATGTTTTTTTTTATGAGTTTGAACTCCTACCACATGGTTTCCGAAATTGGAGTCCTGTGTGTAGGACTTAAGGAAATTAATTTTTTTTTGTCACAACTGGAAAAGCTATATAAAAGTAGATAAAAATAGTTTTGTTGATTTACATGTTATAAAAATGGGTTCTAAAGGAATTTTAGTTTTTATGCTTTTATTTTATCAATCCTGTTTGAAATTGCCCCACATGGGATGAATAAAGATTTCTTTTTAATTGAATTGAATTATATTTTTTTGCAATGATACTCTCTATTTACACTATAAGTATATTCTAACAATTTTGTTACTTACATTGAACCATTATAAACAATATTTGTTCATTTCTTTTGAATACAAGATGAGTTAATAATTTAGGAAAATTACCTTCTTTGCATTAGTTTGAAAGAATAAGTTTATTAGGTCAAAGGCATATGAACTCTAAAGAAAAATATTTTAATGTTTTATTGTACCTATACAGAAATATCATGCCAAATATCATTTTATGGAAAAAGTAGGAAAACTTGATGACCACCTTTTGTTCTATGAAATAAAGGGAAGGAAACATTAACATCAGCGCCATCCCCTAAAACTTTCAAATTAATATCTAAAGAAATATCAATAAAAGTTTGAGAAATGTGATGTTGCATCAAGTCATTGTAAGTTTACATATTATGTTTTTATTTTCTTGATTTATGTATTTTGAACAGATTGGATGTTGATCATTTGTCATTATAAATATTTTGTAAATCTGACGTGTTGAATATTGCAAATGTATGTAGAGAAATTTATAATTTTAGTTAATATTTAAAATCATTTGATTAACTTCCAACATAAACCATGTATGCTGAGTTTTTTTTTTGGCTTAATTTTTTTCAGCATTTGAAGGAATACTTGAGGAATTATCAGGAGATAGTGATCGTGAACATGAAATGCAACTTGTAACACCACAAATGAGAAAACAAAAAAAACAGAGAAGTGAGTAAATATTATTTTAGTTATTTCCATTCCTGATGATGACATAATTAATGTTAAAATATTCCCAACACGATGGCATTCATTTCGATACTTGGAGTATGTATTTATATACTTTCTATTTCCATTGCATTGACTATATATATATATATATATATATATATTTTTTTTTTTTTTAATAAAAAGAAACAGGAGGTAGCAGTCTATTATAAAAACAATTAGTAGTGAAATGCACACACATTCCATAAATTTATAGAATTAAAATGTATTTGAACATTAGGCCACAATTTTAGTCGGTGTGGTTCAGGAGTACCACATGGACCTAGATATTTGGTTTTTTTTTTGTTTAAATTCATGGGATACTGATAGCTAAATGTCCTGCAGTTTGTTTTTGCTTAGGTTTTGGTTCGAGTTAGTTTTGGTCAGATTTTGTTTTGGCTCTCTGTTGGGGTGAGTTGGTTTTGGTCTGGGATTGATTTATTCAATTTAGGTTTGGTCCAAGTTGCCTACTGGGCCAAGTTGTTGGTGATTTGGATATTAATTTTTATGTCGGTCTTAAATAATTCGGTCTTAAGTGACAAAAAAAGTAGCAAGGATGTAGCAGTTCACCTTTGAATGTGGTACAGTATGTCAAACAATCACCAACTAACAAAGCCCAACAATTCTATTTGTTTCTTTAAATCTTTGAAGATAGTGTCTTTATAGCATGTCACATCATTTACTTAAAGTAACTATATTTTAGTAAATGCTTCGTGTTTAATAAACTCCTCCCCTCAATAAACACCCCCTCCAGAACATGTGGTTGCAAAGAGCCCTAAAATACCTGACTTAGGCCTCTTCAGTCCCTACCACTGTGGGGCTGGAGTGTGGTAGGACACATTTGTCTTGATATATTTATTTATTTTGAACTGATTAGATGATGATCATTTGTCATTATAAATATTTTGTAAATCTGATTTTGTGTTGTTGAACTTAAATCTAAGTAGAGAAATTTATAATTTCTGTTGATATTTAAAATCATTTGATTAACTTCTAACATAATCTTGTATGCTTAGTCTTTTTTTTTTTTTTTTTTTTTGCATAATTTTTTCAGCATCTGAAGGAATACTTCAGGAATTACAAGGAGATAGTGATAGCAAACTGGAAACACAACTTGTTCAACCAAAAATGGGTGAGTTTATAATTTACAGAGACGTGAGTAAATATTATTTTAGCTACTTCCATTCTTGATAATG